GCTGGGATTACAGGCACAAGTTACCCATCTTGAAATGATTTCCTTAGTCTTGTCCAAGCAGCTTCCTACCTAAGACCCTAAAGAGAATATTGGATCCAGGTTCACATTTATGGATGAAGTAGTATTCAAATTTTGTAGGGTGTAGTTAGTTAGGGATGTTATGAGTTAGTTACAGAATCATGGAAGCTGGAGTACGCTTGACCTGGCAGTTTCTAGAAAGTGTTAGCTGAGATTTGGCACATTCTACAGTCAGAAATCACTGTCAGTGGACAGCAGGAAGGAGCATGCCCAGATGTTCTACTTCCTGAGGGCTCATGGGGCTGATGGCCCAGGTCCCAAGGGATGTTGTGCTCTGCATGGCTCAGAGGGAAGGAGGAGACGCTTTTGGGGCAGGTGACTTGTGGGTGGGAGGTACAGCGTCTCACTGCAGACTCAGCTCAGGTTCCAGTGTGCGAGAGGCTGGGGCCCCCTTTCTGGGTGGACTTTGTGGGGAGCTCCTGCCAACTCCCTGAATGCCCAGACATTCTCAGCCCAGTGGAGAAGCTGTGGCTCCTGGTTCGACCCCCATCTGCCCAGAGCCATACTTGACTCCAGATGCTCTTCCTGGGGAATCCACCTCTCTCTCCAACCCAAGTTGAGTAATATTCCCAGGACACACACTCCGAACGAACAGACTGTGGGGCTGTCCCTGCTGTTGCTTGTGCTCCCACAGACTCTGTCCACTTGTGGTGGAGTCATGGACAGGTAAACGGCAACCTTTGGGGTCTGCTCCTTCCTGAGGCTGAGAAGGCACCTTGGGGTGACTTGGCATTTTCATAGTTCTGCCTGCTCAGTTCACCCCTCCCCCCGCGGTCCCCCCGCTGCTCACCAAGGGGAGGGGGAGGGGCACAGCTTGTGCACCCCGCAACCTGGCTCTGTGGTTGCACTTCACGCCTCAGTGCACTGTGGCTCTGCTGGCCTGGGTCAGGGCTGGTAGCCATTGCTTCTGTGCCCAGAAGAAATGGACCGTAAACCCTGAGCATTGCCGGAGAGTCTGCTGGGCTCAGGAAGCCTCCCAGAAGTTGGGGAACTGTCGCAACTGAGTCCTGGCTTTCTCGGGAGTGGTCCATGGCTTGGTAGTCCTGCCACTTGGTCCTGGAGCTCCCAGCTCAGTTGTCCTTTCAGCATGTGGCAGCCCGGATGGGTCAGGAGCCATAGCTAGTGCCGGTTTCTAGCCCTGCTTGGGATCAGAATTCATTTCGGTCTTTTATTTTGGACCAGGGATTCAACCTAGGGCCTCATGCATGCTAGGCAAGTGCTCTACACTGAGCTAAATCCCCAGCCTTTGTTAAAATTTAACTTTGAACTAGAGTCTCACTAAGTGGCCGGGGCTGGCTAGAACTCATGCTCCTCTTGCCTCGGCCTCCTGGGTAGCCATGATTACAGATATAATCACAACTCTTGGCTTAAGTCTCTTTTCTGATTCCCCTGTGAGTGAGAGACCCCTTTTGGGTCTAGACTCCTGGGATCCACTGGTATTCAAAGCACTGCAGGAGCTTTGCTTCCAAGCCCAAGCTTGGACCCTTGGAAGTTGGCTGGCTTTTTCCTCTTTGGCATGAATGGAGGCTCTGCCCACCCGTGTGTGTCCCCCATGCACAGCTTTTCTGGAGCTGGAGGTGGAGAGTGAAGCCAGGCCCACGCAGACAAGACGGTGGCTTGGGTAGACTATCCAGCGTGCTCAGGTGCCTGGCCTGGGTCAGTGGCTTATTGTAATGGCTCTGGGTCAAGATTCCATTCCCAGCCTGGCCAGCAGCCTGGGCTCCCCTCAAGGAAGGCTTGCCCAGGGGCAGACAGGCGCGGTAAGACCTGGGCTGCTCTGGGTAAGGCCAGGTGGTGGCGTATAGGGCAGGTGAGGCCGCTCTGAACAGCTCTTTGCCTTTCCTAGGAGCACCTTCTGCTCCATCATTGCGCAGCTCACAGAGGAGACGCAGCCGCTGTTCGAGACCACACTCAAGTCCAGGGCTGTGTCCGAGGACAGCGACGTCAGGTTCACCTGCATCGTCACAGGTAACGCGGTGCTGTCCATATGCTTCGTGCCAGGGTCTCTGCCTGGAGCGGGGCCGAGGGGGCTGGGCTACATCGTGGTGGGCGGTGGGCCGTGTGCAAACCTGTGCAAGCCAACATGGGCTTTCTTAGCTTTCTCTCTAGCTCAGTCTCCCTGGCGGACAGTTGTCCCTTTCTCTTCCTCTGGAGTCACACACATACCCAGCTGTGTCCTCAGGAAGGCTTCTTCACCTTCAGGGACCACATGACTAGTGATGTGGCTCAGAGGCCACCACCTCTAACGTGTTATGGTTGAGTCCCTTGTGGCTTGGGAGTGTCTGGTCTGGGAGGCAGAGGCATGTGTGACCCTGGGGCAGACCCTGGAGGAAAAGTGCCTGGCTTGGGGGTCCTGGCTCATTACCCTTCCAGGGTGTGACACTGAGAGGGTTGAGGCAGGACATTGTGCTAATACATGCAAAGCATTCACGGTCGCACCTGGCGGCAGTCGGCACACAGGAGCACTGGGAGTGAGGAGTGGGTGTTGGTACTTTGCCGAGCTTCGTGGTGGTGCCCAAAACCGAAGTGGTGTGCCTCGGAATGGGAAGGGGGCCCTTGGAATATGGGAAGCGGGCTCTGGGCCTTGTTCTCCCCCACACCCCCAGCATAGCCGCCCATGTGCCACCTGCCCTATCCAAGGCCCGCAGGACACCTGCCCTCCCTCTGCAGATGCCCACCCCTTCCAGCCCAGTGGTCAGGGCCGGGGTCCCAGGTCCCAGCTTCCTCCGAGACCCTGTGATTTGGGTCAGTCACATTTCCAGGGGTGACATCCCCGCTTCTGGGGGACTTGTGATCCCAGCCAGCAGGACAGCTTTTCTGGGCTGAGGTCCTTCTCCCTCAGGACCCCCAAGCGCCAGGTCAAGGACACCGCCTTGGGGACAGCGTTGCCTGCACCCTTACCTTTGCACAGTGTGACATGTGTTGCAATGTTTGTCTGTTTCCATTGTGGTTGAATTCTTACAAAACCCTGTGAAGTAAGCGCTATTATTAGTCAAGTCTGCAGAGGAGAAAACTGGAAGCGGCAAGGTGACTGGGGAGGAAGAGGTGCTGCCTTTTGCTCTCCAGCGCATTAACAATTTTCTCACCATGCTGTGCTTTCTCATGTGCTGCTTTCTCTATTTGGAATATTCTTCCCTCCTTGTTTTTTTTTTTTTTTTTTTTTTT